AGCACCAATAAAGACTATTACTAGAAATCATTACTTCTATCTTACCATATATCTAGCCAAACAATAATAAGCCTCCTTCATTAAAAATGTTTTTCTTGGCTGGGCATGGTGGCTTATGCCCATAATCCCAGAACTTTAGGAGGTCTAGGTGGATGTACATTGGAGGTCAGGAGTTCAAGACCAGCCTGGCCAACACGGTGAAACCCTGTGTGATAGTTAATATTGAGTGTCAACTTGATTGACAAAGTATTGATCCTGGGTGTGTCTGTGAGGGTGTTGCCAAAGGAGATTAACATTTGAGTCAGTGGGCTGGGAAAGGTAGACCAACTCTTAATCTCGGTGGGCACAATCTAATCAGCTGTCAGTGCAGCTAGGATAAAAGCAGGCAGAAGAACGTGAAAAGGCTACCTCGCTTAGCTTCCCAGCCTACATCTTTTTTCCATGCTGGATGCTTCCTGCCCTCAAACATCGAACTCCAAGTTCTTCAGCTTTGGGACTGAGACTGCTTTCCTTGCTGCTCAGCTTACAAATGGCCCACAATAGTGGGACCTTGTGATCAGGTGAGTTAATATTACTTAATATCATGTTTGATGATGGATCATCAAGTCATCATGTGACCTGAACTGCGTATTATGAACTGAGTGCCCTCTGACCCATTTAGCTATAAAGTAGGTCGTGCACAGCAGCATTCCATTATTAAATGGAAGTGGTGTATATGTGATTGGGCTCCAGCAGGTCCTGAATGCACAATTAAGTTACATGAGGAAGTGGCTCAAATGCTCATGATCTCCACTCCTGCTGGCTTACCTTTTCTCCCACAGCCCGCACTGATGGCCTCATGGGGAGTTCCCTATAATCAGCTGACAGAGGAAGAGAAGACTAGGGCCTGGTTCACAGATTGTTTTGTATGATATGCAAGCAGCACTCAAAAACACAGAGCTGCAGCACTACGGCCCCTTTTCAGAACATCCCTGAAGGACGGCAGAGAAGGGAAATCTTCCCAGTGGGCAGAACTTCCAGCAGTGTAGCTAGTTGTGCACCTTGCATGGAAGGAGAAATGGCCAGATGTGTAATTATATAGTGATTCATGGAGTGTAACCAATGGTTTGGCTAGATGGTCAGGAACTTGGAAAAAACATGGTTGGAAAATTGGTGACAAAGAAATTTGGGGAAGAGGTGTGTGGATAGATCTCTCTAAGTGGTCAAAAACTGTGAAGATATTTGTATTCCATGAGTGCTTACCTATGGGTAACCTCAGCAGAGGAGGAGTTTAATAATGAAGTGGATAAGATGACCCATTCTGCGGACACCACTCAGCCTCTTTCCCCAGCCACTCCAGTCATTGCCCAGTAGGCCCATGAACAAAGTGGCCATGGTGGCAGGGATGGAGGTTAGACACGGGCTCAGCAACACAGACCTTCACTCACTAAGGCTGACCTGGCTACGGCCACTGCTGAGTGCCTAATTTGCCAGCAGCAGAGACTGACACTGAGCCCCCGATATGGCACCATTTCTCGGGATGATCAGTCAGCTACCTGGTAGCAGGTTGATTATATTGGAATCTTCCATTATGGAAAGGACAGAGGTTTGTCCTCACTGGAATAGACACTTACTCCAGACATGGGTTTTCTATCCTGCATGCAATGCTTCTGCCAAGACACCATTCGTGGACTCTCAGAATGCCTTATCCACTGTTATGATATTCCACACAGCATTGCCTCGGATCAAGGCACTCATTTTACGACTGAAGAAGTACAGCAGTGGGCTCATGCTCATAGAATTCACTGGTCTTACCATGTTCCCCATCATCCTGAAGCAACTGGATTGATAGAACGGTGGAATGGCCTTTTGAAGTCACAATTACAATGCCAATTAGGTGACAATACTTTTCAGGGCTGGGGAAAAGTTCTCCAAAAGACCGTGTATGCTCCAAATCAGCGTCCAATATATGGTACTGTTTCTCCCATAGCCAGGATTAATGGGTCTAGGAATTAAGGGGCGGAAGTGGAAGTGGCAGCACTCACCATTACCCCTAGTGATCCACTAGCAAAATTTTTGCTTACTGTTTCCATGACATTATGTTCTGCTGGCCTAGAGGTCTTAATTCCATAAGGAGGAACATTGCCACCAGGAGACACAACAACGATTCCATTAAACTAGAAGTTAAGACTGCCACCTGGACACTTTGGGCTCCTCCTACCTTTAAGTCAACGGGCTAAGAAGGGAGTTTCAGTATTGGCTGGGGTGATTGACCCGGACTATCAAGATGAAATCAGTCTACTACTCCACAACAGAAGTAAGGAAGAGCATGCAAGGAATTCAGGAGATCCCTTAGGGCATCTTTTAGTATTACCATGCCCTGTGATTAAGGTCAATGGGAAACTACAACAGCCCAATCCAGGCAGTTGGCAAAGACCACGCTGAATGAAGGTCTGGGTCACTCCACCAGAAAAAAATCAGAACCTGCCAAGGTGCTTGCTGAAGGCAAAGGGTATACAAAATGTGTGAAAGAAAGTAATCATCAATGCCGGCTGCGACCACGTGACCAGTTGCAGAAATGGTGACTATAATTGTTATGAGTGTTTTCTCCTTCTTTTGTTAAAACCGTGTGTGCATGTATACACTTATACTAAGAAAATAACTTCATTTTATTTCCTTTTTCCTTTATCATGTGACAAAAGATTTATTTACTTCATATCCACATTTAAATATTATTAACTTTATATTGGGGATTGGTGCATTTCCAGTTGTACCAGGGATAGTTACATTATGTTAAGTGTAATTATGACCTTATTATTGCTTTTATTTGAAGATTATATATGATCTCAGGAGATGTATATGGATTCAAGTTGACAATGGGTCAACTTGAGTGTCAAGGGGTCATACTGAGTGTCAGCTTGATTGGATTGAGGGATGCAAAGAATTGATCCCGGGTGTGTCTGTGAGGGTGTTGCCAGAGGAGATTAACATTTGAGTCAGTGGGCTGGGAAAGGGAGAACCACCCTTAATCTGAGTGGGCATGATCTAATCAGCTGCCAGTATAGCCAGGATAAAGCAGACAGAAGAACATGAAAAGGCTAGATTGGCTTGGCCTCCCAGGGTACATCTTTCTCCCAGGCTGGATGCTTCCTGCCCTTGAACATCCGACTCTAAGTTCTTCAGCTTGAGGACTCAGACTGGCTTCCTTGCTTCTCAGTTTCCAGTGGCCTATTGTGGGACCTTGTGATCATTTGAGTTAATACTACTTAATAACTCCTCCCCTTTATATATAAATTTCTATGTTATTAGTTCTGTTCCTCTAGAGAACCTTGAGCAACCGCCCCTCCCTGCCCTCTGCAGCCTCTACTAAAAATACAAAAAACATTAACCCAGCATGGTGCTGCATGTCCCAGCTACTTGGAGGGCTGAGGATCACTTGAACCCAGGAGGAGGAGGTTGTAGTGAGCTGACATCACGCTAGTGCACTCCATCCTGGGTGACAGAGGGAGGCTGTCTTAAAAACAAAAACAAAAAAAAGTTTTTCTTACTTGAAACAAGTACAGTACTTTAAAAAAATTAATTGCATGTTTATTCCAAATCCATTCATCAGCTTTTCTAAATATTGATATAATTATACTCTTTTCTTCAAAATATATGGGCAATCAAAATGCTGGAAAGGACTATCTGAGAATGTTAGAAATTCAATAACATGTAACCTGACTCTTAAGCATGATTTCCAATTGCTGAAATATAAATATAAATTGCCAATACTTTCCAATATAATTTATGCCAAAGATAGAATCGATCTATATTTGCACTGTCCAATACAGTAGCCACTACTGGTTATTGAATACTTGAAATGTAGACAGTGTAACTATGAATAAAATTTTAATTTTATTGAATTTTAATTCATTTACATTTATATGGCCATATTGTGGCTGTTGTCTACATTTTAGACGGCACATACCTGTCACCCCAGGATCTTATTAAAATGAAGATTCTACTCAGTAGGTCTGCGCTAGGGCCTCAGAGGCTGCATTTCTACCAAGTGCCCACCTGGTGATGCCAATGCTGTGGATGTATGGACTACACTCCCAGTGGCAAGAGTTTCAGCCAACTGTAGTTAATCACCAACAACACATTGCCACTTTGGAACCATGTTACTTCCTTCCCGATTCTTAAAGGTGTTTCTTCTGTTGTCAGGTCAACTTTATCAGAATATCAATTTTTAAGCTTTAGAATATGCTCCTGAAATGCCGCCTTCTGCTGGTTCATGTTTACTTCATTAACCATTAGAGACTTCTGGAGTAGTTTGACCTGGCAGCATATTATACTCACCTGGGGATCTTTTTCTGCTCATTTAAATCAATCCGGAACTGGGCATCAGTATTTTTCAGAAGCTCCCCAAGTGATTCTAATACGTAGCCCAGTTTGTAAATTTCAAATTTGTGTATGTTTTATAGTCAAGAGCTCAAAACCAAAGTAATGCTAACACAGGGCATTGTTAATACAATTGCTGACATTCTGAATCTTGACCTAGATTGGTCCACGTTCCCCAGTTTGGCTCTTTTGAATTTAATCTGCTGTTGGCTTACACTGTGTAGACTGTTTTAAAATGCATTGGCCCCACCCTCTCCACAGCGCCACCGCTACTCCTACCTCATCACCAAGTGGAAAAAGTAAAGAAGGTACCAAGACTTTAATATTAAGAGAATTTAGATCTCTAGCTTATTTTTGCTCTAGGGAAAAAGCACCAAAATCATAACGTTTTCTATTTCAGCATAGGTTAAGCGTCCCTAATCAGAAAATCTAAAATTTGAAATGCTCCAAAATCTGAAACTTTTGGAGAAGCAACATGGCACTCAAAGAAAACTCTCACTGGAGCATTTCAGATTCTATATTTTCAGGTTAGGGATGCTCAACCAGTTAGTATAATACAAATATTTAAAAATTTTTAAAAATCCAAGATCCAAAACACTTCTGGTCTCAAGCATCTCGGATAAAGGATACTCAACCTGTACTTTCTGAACAGGTGACTCTGGAGTTTTGCTTTTTGGCAGACGCCATGGTCTCACCTAAACCAATGCATTGCCCTCTCTTCATCCTTCACTGCACCAGTTCCTAGGTAAACAAAAGATAACATATTTTTAAAAAAATGACTCAGTTAACTGCTTAATGCTAAAACCTATAAGCCTACAGATACATGAGTTTGGTGCAAAGTTAATTGTGGTTTTTGCCATTACTTTTAGAACTCTAACCAGCAAACCTCTCCCTACCTGTTTTCCCCAAGTAAATGGCACTCGAGAAACAAAGTTACTTTACCTTTGAGGTATCTTTGTCCAACAACATACTGAGCACTGGGTACCCAAAATGAGCATAAAAATGTGCCATATGGAAATGAAAGCTCTGGGAATACAGCCAGATGTAAAGGAGAGAGATCATGGCTCCCACTGTGGCCAGGAGCTGCAAAAAAGAAAAAGGAGACAGGAAGAAAAGCATGGGAATCTACTACTTTAGCTATGGTTCAGACATGAAGGAAATGAGCAAATTCTATGAGAAAAGCATTTCAGGATGAATTGCATATGATTTAAAGAGCAAGTGTATCCATCAATGGCCTCTGTTGGGCAAAAAATATTTATTGTCACTAGTCTTTTATTTTTAGAGTCTTACGTGTACTTTTCCTAGGTGATACAACATAACTGAATTGCATAATTAAGTAAATTGGATGCTGACCAATAGGATCTTGGCAGTTTATAAAAGAAAAACAATTGAGGCAGAAGCAATTGCAGAAGTCAAAAAAGAATGTATGCATTTGTTATTTGGGCAGGGACATGTGAGGGGCTGGGATTTGGAGCAGAGGAAGATTCCTGTCTTGCTTTGTCGCCGTCTGGAGAGGCCACAATCCTGGCCCATTTGCCCAATATCTCCAGCTGCTTCTATGGATATGACAGACCTCAAACTCCACTTGCAGCTTTCATCCTAAAGAAGTCCTGGAAAGCCAGTGGGCCAGCAGAAGAAAAAGGAAGATGAGATCTCACTGCCCAAACCACAACCTCAGCCGACAATACGAGGATACTTCCTAAAAGAACCTGGGGTTTAGCAGGAGTTTTGACATCACCCTTCTTAGTAGTTTGAGCATGCTATCGAATTCTCTTCAGGAAGCCCGCTTTTCCCATCATGAGAAGCTCGTACCTCAATGGCCTGATGCCCAAAACAAGTTCACGTTGTCCAACCTAATTAGCATGGCCATTAGCATTTCCTGAGACTTGGCAGATACCCTCTGAGATGTCAATTCATACAGATATCCCTAACTGACAGGGAAATAAATTCTGTGAGGCAACTATGAAATACAGCAAGACCACGAACTGCACTAGCAGCATGGAAAGCTCAGTAGCCTCTAGCCCATCGCCTGGGCATGCTTGGCTGGCTTCTAAGGAGGAGCTCATAATCTGGAAAAAACAAAGTGGGGTTGATCATTTTCCCTTTCAGGTGCAATCTATTTCTAAGAGAAGAAAGGAATGTTACATCTACCCTGAAAACCCAGGTCTCTAGGGCTGGCATGAAGGGTACAGATCTATTATTGACTTCAAGACCAAGAACCGAACTTGAAATTTGGTGGTTATTGGTAGTTGTAGATAATTATATATGACAAAGTCTGTATGACAGTCTTTGTGTTTATGTATATATACATATATTTAATACTAATATTCTCTGTATGACAGTCTTTGTGTTTATGTATATATACATATATTTAATACTAATATTCTCTGTATGACAGTCTTTGTGTTTATGTATATATACATATATTTAATACTAATATTCTCTGTGCATTGTTGAATTTTTGTTTGTTTGCTGTATGTTTGGTCAGACTGTTCTAATTTTTTTCCTCCTATACAGTAATCTCTGGATTCTGTTTCATGAATACACTATAGCCTTTTACAGTAACTCTGTATGTTGCAGGGTTTCATAGCAGGTGAATATCTGGTTTTAAGACTCCTCAAATCTTTTCTGAAGCTATTTCATTTATTCGGTTTTGTTTTGAATGTGTTTAACACTCTTCTGATCGCCGTAGATAAAATAGTGGGTAAAACAAGGTAAATGGCCTGCTGTATTATAGCTTATGCTACAGTAAGGATAGAGAAATGAGGAAACAGACAATGAGTAAAACACACAAGATATTGGATACAAATAAATGCCATAGAAAAGCTTAAAGACCAAAGGACATTAGGGTATATCTGTCTTTCTCTCTCACACACACACACAGCTCTCACACTGGGGGAAGCAAGCTACCATGTTGTAAATAGCCATATAGATTGGGCCACATGACAAAGAAATGATGTCTCCAGCCAACAATCAGCAGGGCACAGGGGCCTTACCACAGCAACATAGCTTGAAATCAGAACCTCTCTCAGTCTGGCCTGTCAATGACTACAGCCCCAGCTGATAAATTGATTGCAGCCTCACGAGAGAGTCTGGGCCCAGAAGCCTGACCCACAGAAACCATGAGATAATAAATGTATGTTTCACACAACTAAGTTTTGAGTACTTTGTTACATAGCAACAGATAATGAATACAGGGCCTGCTGGCCATTTAAAGCACTTTGGCTTTTACCCAGAGTAGAACGAAAAGCCACTGAAGGGTTTTCAGCGAGAAGTGATGTGATCTGGCATGTTTTAACAGAATTATTCTGGCCTCTGTGAGAACAGAGTGAAGGGAGGCAAGGGCAGAAACTGCAATAGCAGTTAGGGAGCTATCGTGAAAATACAAGCAATACCGAAGACAGGATGGGAGCATGATCCGTGGTAGGAACAGAGACAATAGTGAAGTCATCAGATTCTGAAAACACTAATATTAGATCTAAGAGCATCTGCTGTTTCAATGTGGGCGTGATAGAGATGGGAGAGTGTGTACCTTTACTTTCTTCATTTTTAATTTGTTTTGAAATTCTAATTCATTCTTTCAATCAGTGAATATTTATTAAAAGTCTACCATGCTGCTATGTCCCCTCCAAAATTCAGGTTGAAGCTTAATCCCCAATGCAACAGTATTAAGAGATGTGGTCTTTGGGAAGTGATTAAGTCGTAAGGGTCCTGCCATTCTAAACGGCATTAGTACCATTATTAAAAAGGGCTCTAGGTTAAAGAGAGCTTTGCCTTTCCACCTTCTGCCATGTGAGGACATAGCAACAAGGTGCCATCTTGGAAGCAGGGAGCAGGTCTTATCATGCACCAATGCCAGTGCCTTGATCTTGGACTTAGCCTCCAAAACTGTCAGAAATAAATTTCTGTTGTTTACAAATTGCTCAGCCTGTGGTATTTTGTCATAGCAGCACAAACAGATTAAGACATGCCTGTTATATAGTCTGTTTGCTTTTAAGACAGTTAATCTTTAGTTTCAGAGATTTTTTTCTAACTTTGGTGGGAAGCCATTGGCACACTTTTAGCAGAGAAGAGACATATGATTTATGTTTTAGAAAAATCTCTCTAGCTTTATATAGGGAATTGGCCATATGGGAGCAAGTGAAGAAGCAGGGAGACCAATTAGAAGACTATTGCAGCTGGGTGCAGTGGCACATGTTTGTAATGCCAGCTATCCTGGAGGCTAAGGAGGAAAGATGTTGTGAATCCAGAAGTTCAAGTCCAGTCTGGGCAACATAGCCAGACCCTATGTCTTGGAAGGAAGGAAGAAAGAGAGGAAGGAAAAAAGGAAGAAAAGAAAGAAGGAAAGGAAAAAGAGGGAAGAAAGGAAAGAGTTGAAAATATTAAAAATTATATTTCTTAATATCTGAGAAGGAATTTGCACCATGTAAAGGAAGTAGACTAAAATGAATCTTGACTGGGCACAGTGGCTCATGCCTATAATCCCAGCATTTTGGGAGGCAGAGGTGGGAAGATCACTTGAAGCCAGGAGTTTGAGACCAGCCTGGGCAACATAGTGACACCCCATTTATATAAAATAAAAAACATTAGCTGGGCATGGTGGCACATGCCTGCAGTCCCAACTACTTGGGCAGCTGAGGCAGGAGGATCACTTGAATACAGGAGTTGGAGACTGCAGTGAGCCATGGTCAAGCCACTGCACTCCAACCTGGACAACAGAGTAAGACCCTGTCTCTAAAAATAAAAATATATAATAAATAAAAAGAACCCCAAGGTACAACATTAGAATTAAAAGCATCAGCATCAAGTCAGGTATAAAATACACACATACACATACATATACACACAAATAAAAATAGTTACAATCATATGCTTGTATACATACCTATATACATGTATATATACATACATACATTTCCTAGCTTTTTCTACCAAAAACTCCCAATGCAATGACGCCTCAGTAATGATGAACATGAGTACCCAGATCATTGTTTCATTCTTTTAATAAGTGGTATCCTTCATTAAAGGAAATCAAGGGTCGGACAGGCATGGTGGCTCATGCCAATAATCCCAGCACTTGGGGAGGCCAAGGCAGGTGGATCACTTCAGGTCAAGAGTTCAAGACCAGGCTAGCCAACAAAGTAAAACCCTGTCTCTACTAAAAATAAAAAAATTAGCCAAGTGTGGTATATGCCTGTAACCCCACCTACTCGGGAGGCTGAGGCAGGAGAATCACTTGAACTCAGGAGGCAGAGGTTGCAGGGAGCGGAGATCATGCCACTGCACTCTAGCTTTTCTGACAGAGCAAGACTCTGTCTCAAAAAAAAAATAAATAACAAAGTGAAAGTTTGTGAACACTCATCAGTGAAGCCATCTGCACATGAACTTTTCAAAAAAAAAAAAAAAAAGAAAAAGAAATCAAGGGTCCTTTAAGAAATGGCTAACTCCAGGGGACCCAGAACATTGTTTCATTCTTTCAATGAATATTATCCTTTATTATAAGAAATCAAGGGGCCAGGCACAGGGGCTTACACCTGTAATCCCAGCACTTTGGGAGGCCGAGGTGGGGGAATTACAAGGTCAGGAGTTCGAGACCAGCCTGGCCAACATAATGCAACCCCATCTCTACTAAAAATACAAAAATTAGCAGGGCATGGTGGTGCACGCCTGTAGTCGCAGCTACTCGGAAGGCTGAGTCAGGAGAATCACTTGAACCCAGGAGGTGGAGGTTGTGGTGAGCTGAGATCACACCACTGCACTCCAGCCTGGGCAACAGAACAAGACTCTGTCTCCCCCCGAGCCAAAAAAAATAAAAAATAAAAGAGAAATAAAGGATTCTTTAAGAAATGGCTAATTCCAGGGCTGGAATATGGAATGAAAAAATGTACTTGGAGCATCTCATTTTCTCTAAAAAACATACACAATGAGTGATGAAGCTATGTCAAAAGGACAGAGAAGCCAGCTTAACAGGGCTAACACTGGTCAAATCTGGGATAATATCCACATCACAATAAATAATAATATTATCAAATGAAAACTCAGTAACTAAAATTGGAATCCACGAATGCATACTGATATAACTAATAAAGAAATGTGAGAAGAGAAATTTGTTATAGTAGAGTGCCAACTAATAACTGCAGAAAAAAGCAAATAAGGAAGCAGCCATTTGGCAACCCTTATTATGATGATTGACTCAGGTGGAAATTGTCAATGAATGCTAATGCTGATGTGGAAAACTCGATGAGAAACGAGATATTAGCTTAAAATCTTAGAAGTGTTGCTTTCAAATGTTAATCAGTCTTAAAGAAAAATTGAGCCTTTGGAAATCTAGTAAACACTAACATAAACACGTGCCCAAGATCAAGCAGTGGAGCAGATCTACATTGTGTGGTGCCTCCTGATATGAGGCACTAGGAAGAGTACAGCATCACTTCTGCGATAGTCCTGCCACAAATGCATGACTTATGTCTGGTCATGAAGAAACATCAGACAGATCTGTGTTTAGGATTGTCCCAAATTGGAGGAATCTAAAGAGACATGGCCACTAAATGTAATGCAAGTTCCTGGATAGGACACTGGACCAAAAAGAGGAAGGAAGCATTGTTGGGACAGTTGGCAAAATATGA